AACGTTTTCCTGCTGCTTGGAACCAACCCTGCCTCCGGTATGACGATCCATTTAACGACAATACCGGGACAACAACTTGTGAAGATTGTTTCGCTCGCATTTTCACATCGATGAATTTGGATAATAGCCAATTGACACAGTACCTAATTGCCGCATTTGATAGTGATATGATGGAAGTGAATCCATCTGAAGAAATCTGGTCTTTACGTATTTTGGCTATGCAGATTTCCTTACAAAATCCGTTTTCCTTTTTCGGTATTGATGAGTTTGAGGGGAAACCGGACGACAATCACTTCTTTTCCGGCGAAATGTCCAATCCACGGCTACGCTTGGAGCATCCCTTGGTGGGCTTTTGGTTAATTTGCTCCAAGTTGTTTGATTATCCTTGGATTAATGAGTTTCTGTTGGAGTATTACGACGACCCGCCATCCGCAATTGTTGATGCAATCAAACAAACAAGAAGTGGCAAGTCTATCAACAATGCTCCAAATCGAGAATCATTGAAGGAACCGGATCCGCCTCGTATCCAAAAAATATATGATCCGATGTACTCTATTGACAAACCAGGCAAGGATGTTCATCGCGAATCCACCAGCTCCAAAGGGGACCAGGTGCAAAACCCAAATCGCTTTGCACCTCTACAAAGTGATGATGACTCGTTTGAAGGCAATGGAATTCAGGAATTCGACGAGGTTGCAGTGGTGGCGGTGAAAAATAATGCCTCCAAGGCGCCTGAGTCGTCGGATGAAGATGAAGACACTGAAGATGACGACACTAACGACAGGGAGAACATTGTGGACGACGCAATGGAGGAAGACGATGATGACGAACGGGTCAATACCGCTGGGGCGAACCCGCACGATGAGGCCATGGACGACAACACTCTACTGTTGACTTCTCCTAAACTTACGGCAACACAAGACTCAGCAGGTACAGGGACCTTTACGGAGCCCTTGGAAACAACTCCTTCTCGAGTTCAACGCCCCCCAACACTGGCCGAACGGATCTCAAACCTCATTCAGGTGAACATGGAAGGGATACCAGGCAAGTGTCACATCTTTGAGACTACTTTCTCCATGGACTATCAAGGGTCGGATTCAGGAACTGTGGCGGAGGCGCTCTTGTCGACAGTTCTGACGTCTATAGAGAAAGCCATCAACAATTCCGCTAATGAATTGAAGCTTCTTCCAATCTCTGATACCACATATAAGCAACCGAATCTTTGGATTCAAAACTCAGTAGATTTACGTAATTGCATTTCGACTTATCGCGCTCTGTTGACTTACTGTGATATGGAATATGGTAACTGTCCCTACGCGGCAGCCAACAGCAAGCCGGGCAAGAAGAAACTACGCACACGCATTCGCGTCGGCTTCTCGGCTGAGGCCTCGGTCAAGGCCGTTCAAGACTATCTTCATACCGGATTATGTCAATCGGGGAGAGGCGCTGGGTGCTACCCTTCTCCCTTGCAGTATGGAGAAATTGTGAAGATTGTATCATGCTCGTTTATTCCTGCAGAAGTCAACTTCTCAGCTTATGCAAAGGAACTGATGAGACTATTTGATTTCAAAGTACCGATTGGTATCAAGATGGACTGGGTTTCTATTCCGTACACGGGCCAAGCAAAGTACAAAGAACGATCCCCCGGAGTGACTAGTCCACATTGTTTCACTCGGAGGATTCATGCCAAGAGATTTGATCGCACTTTGAGGTCAATTCTCCACCCAGCAACTGCAAAACCTGACTTTCCATTCGCAGCACCGGCCACCTACATCAGTGATTGGAAATTGGCACAACAAGGTTTGCTGAGTGTTAAGGCCTACGGTCCGGTGAAGGATGCGATCCTTACCTTGATCAGCAAGTTACGGGATTACTACATTTTGACGGAGGTTCTTTATCCAGGCATCGACTTCACGGGGATGTTCAAGTTTGCGACTACAAGGTTGTACGGTTCTTGCACTCTGTTCAAACTGCTCTTGTCCATCAAGGCCACTCCGGCCCAGGCTGATCAGGCTTCCACAGCTGCCAAAGACAGACCCCCAACACCTGCCGACGACGACTCATCTGAAGAGGAGGACGATGAATCCCATGAGGGAGCGGGTTCTCTGTCCGGACCATTCACGAAGGTGACAAAGAAGAAGGTGAAGAAGAAGAAGAAGAAGTCGCTCATTTCCGATAATCTAGAGAATCATTTTCTCAAAGATCTATCCCTGGCACAACGCAAGCTGGCTGAAGCTACCGACCGCAAACTGAAGAACGATATTGATCGCCATAAGGCGGGACCACTCTTCCTGATGATCCTTCCTG